ATGAAAGAAAATATCCTTTCCAACATAAATGAAATTAGGTGGAAATTGCTTCTAACAAAATAAAAAAGCAACAAAAAAAAATAACAGAAAACAATGAATACCAAAAATAATGAAAATAAGGTTTTAGAAGAAAAATTAAAAAAAAAAAAAAAGAAAAAATGAAAAAAAAAATTTTTTGAACACAGCAAGGATTCTTAAAAATAAATTTTTGATTTTATTGTTGTTGTTATTGCTTTTCTTTTCTCTAATAAAAAAAAAGGATATTACTTTTTGTTGCTGGTGGTGTTTGTCATTACATCTCACAAAAAGAATCAAAAAAGAATGAGAGCGAGTGATTAAGTACGTTTTGTTAAATGTTTGAAGACCATATTTATTATAAATAAGTATAAATTTATGTGTACATCGGGCATAGTCTCAAAAGAGGGTTACAAAAGTTTAATACTAATTTTTTTTTTTTTGGAGACATAGACAATTACTGTGTTTCCTTGCTTCATTTTATTTTATTTCACTTTGTTGTAGTTTTTTTTATTTAAAAAAGAGGGTGAAATACTTGAAAATTAAGAGTGAAGATGAGAAAACAAAATAAATCTTTTAATAAAAATAAAAAAAACATTAAAAATAATAAGAAATATGAATGAAAATAATTTTTTCAAATCCACTTTTTCGACTTAATTTGAAAAGAAGAACTTATATAAATTTCTAGCAAATCAATAATTTTCTCTGGTGCAGAAAAATTCACTGTACATATTGAAAATGTTGGTGTCAATTTGTACTCAGTGCATTGAGTTTATAAATATGCGGGGTGTTGGGGACAGCACCTCCTCTATTACATAATTCTTCAAATGACGAAATAAAGAATTCATGTGAGAATCACTTTGTTCTAATTGTATGATTCAGGTATGCAAACTAAAAAATAGCTGCACAAGAATATCGATTTTCAAAATAAGCTTACAAAAATCTGAGATTTACTTGAGAAAAGCTTAATGTTGAACTCTAAAAATTTATATCTTTTAAGCTGTTGAGAAATTCAAGATCTTTTGAAATGCAAAACTATAAGTATAATAATACCTTCAATATATTATATATATATATATGTATATATATACTTACATATATATATATATATGTATATATATACTTACATATATATATATATATATATATATAACTGTAACATTAAATACTAAAATACAATTCATATCAAATATACATATTGAAAGTATTAAAATGATTATTTATGTATGACAAAAATTATGGTATTTGCTTTCGGCATTTGACATTAATCGAACATACAATAATTACGATTCATATTGAGCATATTTTGTTTTTTCTCCTGCTTATGGACGAAAATTTTGATATGTTGCTTATACGTACTTCCAAAATAAATTCCAAAAATGTATACCGGTATAAAAAAATTATAAATTTATTGATAAAAAATTTAGTATAATTTTCAATAAACACAACATTCAACACACAAATTATAAAATACATTTTATTCAAAACTTATTATTTCACAGTTCTTAAATAACTTTTTATCAACTTCAATATTTTTTTAGAATTTCATATTTTATTTTATGGTTTTATGCAAAAAAGTATTAAAGACAATCATTCATACATAACATTAAAATCATGCATGTAATATGAAACCAATATTTTTATGTAACGTCGTTACATATTCAAATAAAATTAAAAAAGAAATTCAGCCAAGTTCAGAAAATTGTTATGAAAATTTAATAATAGAAAAAAAAGACTATTTTCATGCAGTCGTTCCCATAAGCATTTAATGTGCATAAAGTTACTTTATATGTGTTAGTATGTATTGTGCGTTGTACATACATAAATTATACTTAAGTATATGCCATAGAAAAGGAATAAAAATTACATTTTCTTTGTAAGTACGTCATAGGAAATCATAATAACAAATATTGTAGAAACAATAACTGACATAAAGGTGACGAAGGCATTGTGTGGGAGTATGCCTTGATTGTATGGACAATATTCACATTTTAAACAATTAAAAAATAAAAGAACTATAGCACGAAATGTTTTACTAAGTTCATTGGACGGAACACGATTGGTAAAAAAAAAGTTGAAGTTAAAGACAGTTTTATTAATTCAAATATTGCGATATTTAAAAAACTTAATCTCAATTTTCTTTTTTTAAAAAAGTAAGGACAAAAATAAAAATTAAATATTGACAAATTTCTCTTGCATTTTCTATATTAAAATATTTTTCTCCTTCTTTTGTTGCTATTATGCATTCTTTTTTTTTCAAGAAATTTTTTACTTGCCTACGATTTTTTTTATACAAGGGAAACAATTTTTCCTGTTCTCTTTTTTAATATCACAAAAAAAAAAAATTTACTTTTTTTTTATAATAATATGAAAAATTTTAAGAAAATTATATAGGTATGCCAGACATACATTTCAATTTACATAAACTACATACAAATGTGAAAAACAAACATTTGACAAGATGAAATAGAATAGCCTTCGGCGACATGAATCCTATTTTATACCCAGGAAAAAAAAATTACATAAATACACAAGGATATGGTGTATATAAAAATATACCTATAAGAAAACATAGAACTGGTAAAACTCTAAAATTTTCAAATATAAGACAGTGTAGTATCTATATTATAAAAGGTATCCTTTAATATTTTTACGATATATATGTATATAATTTATTCCACTGATTTCACGGAGTACTTGGTGGCAATTTTTTTAAATTACATAATGATTAGGTAAATAAAACCGATTCTTCCATCGCTTTTCATCAATCTTACCAGAATTTAAAAACTTTTTGATTACAGTCGCATAATTCATTATTAAAATCTAAACTAATGTTAATAGTTTACAGCCCTGATTCTTCACAATGATATATATATATAACCATCAGTAAAGTTAAACTACATTATATACAACAAAGAATAAGGATATAAATAACAAAAAAAATAAGGATAATATTATTTCATTTAAAAGCAAATAAAAATGAGAAATAATAATAAATTCAACAATGAAATTTGCGTGTTTTTAGTTTTTAATCATTTTTCATATCAATTTCATATACATAAATAAATAAAAAAAAACCCATACTAAAAATTGCGAGGAAAATATAAACATATGTATCCTTGTCTAGATTTATTATTTAAATTTTACCCAAAATTAATAATCCGAATTTCATTAGAATGTTGAGTTTAGCGTGATTTATGTCAATTGCGCTAGAAAATGTTTTTGGTGTTAATAAAATTGTTTTCAGAGAAGTCAAAAAAGATATTTAAAATGTCGTTTAGAAAATTTTTATTTAAAAAAAAAATTATTTAATCTTCGAATTCATATTAAAATTGAATTAAATATTATGTATTTGATAATGAAGAAAGACTTGATATCACATTTTTTATAGCATCAATCACGTAACACTAACGTTCACATTGAATACAGAAAATGATTATATATGTATGTATGTACATAGTTTAAAAAAATCAATTGTTTAATAAAAGTTTTAACTGTTTCTCGACCAGTAATTTTTCACTAATTAAGTGGTAGTTCATTCCTTTTTGATATCAAAATCTATGATCATAGAGTTAAGCAACAACTGAACTACCCAAATGATTATTTTTCTTAAAGGCAAGTGACGAATCTTAGAAAATTGAAAAGCAACATTCAATGCCCAAATTTTTTTCACTTCGTCTCTTATCTACACAAAACATCAAAAATATGTTATACATAATATAATTGCATACATAATGTAAGAGTAATATGTTATATGCACAAAGGAAAAAACATAAAAACACTGCCAAATTGATTTCCAAAACAAAAAGGCTCCTTCTTCCAGATTTTACTTTTTTATGCTACAACAATTTCTTTTTTCGTTGATATTTCAAGGATATTTTAATCAAATTGCTATGTATACTCTGAAATTGCTTCCATTTTTTTTCTAATTTTTTCTCATTGAATGTCGGAAAGATTTTTTTTTTTCGTTTTGAATTTTGAATATCCTTAATCAATAAAAAAACTGCTTTCTTTTACTTCACATGTCTTTTATTGAGAAAACAAGTATATACAAGTATAATTGATAAACAAAAATGGAAAAATTAGCTACCAACCAACAAAAATTACCGTTACTGTCATTTTTACATAACTATGCAATTGATAGACTACATTCAAAAGATTTTCGTTAAACTTCTTGTTTAACAGCAATATCAAAAAACCAAAAAAAAAATATCTACACAAGAACGGTAACAAGAACTACAAAAGTAAACAATACGAAAACAAAAATGAGCAAGATATCTCTTTCAATTTGACAAAAACGACGAAAACAGCGGGGACAACGAAAACGATATCTATTTATAACTTATCTACTTATATGTAGTAACAATTGAGCGTAGCTGAGCGGAAAAAGGCGACGACTACCAAAATAATATTCACAAAACAAAGTAAAAGGTTTTTTCTTTCACAACAAAAAATTGAAACGATGACTGAAAAATAAAATGTGAATAAACAAAAGAAAAAAGTAACAAGGCTATCGCAGACAAATCAAATTTTTTCATTTCGAATATCGATTTTGCAACCACGCCTTCCAGGCCATAATGTACAGAGCTATCAACCGACATAAACCAACGGTTTTAATTTCGTCACATAAACCGAAAAATTACAAAAAAACGAACTACAACACTATAATAACAAATTTATGTCCATATACCTTATACTGTAGAAGCTGGACACACCCAGCTCAGCTCCAGTTATTGCATATGTTGTAGGGATCCACCTAGCTCGGATCCAATTTTTGGATATGTTGTACGGACCCACCTAGCTCGGATTCAATTCTTGCGCACGTTGTAGGGAACCACCTAACTCGCATTCAATTCTTGCATATGTTGTAGGGATCCACCTAGCTCGGATCCATTCTTGCATTTATTGTAAGGAATCACCTAGCTTGGATTCAATTCATGCATATGTTGTAGGGATCCACCTAGCTTGGATCCAATTTTTGCATATGTTGTAGGGATCCACCTAGCTCGGATCCAATTCTTCCATATGTTGTAGAAAACCACCCCGCTGGGATTCAATTCATGCATATGTTGTAGAAATCCACCTAGCTCGAAATCAATTCTTGTACATTTTGTTGGGATCCACCTAGCTCGGATCCAATTTTTGCATATGTTGTATTGATCCAACTAACTTGGATCCAATTTTTGCATTTGCTATAGGGATCCACCTAGTTCGGATCCAATTTTTGCATATGTTTAGGAATCTACCTAGCTCAGATTCAATTCTTGCAAATGTTGTGGGGAACCATCTAACTCGTATTATTGCATATGTTGTCGGGATCCACGTAGCTTGGACCCCTTCTTTGCACATGTTGTAGGGAACTACCTAACTCGTATTCAATTCTTGTAAATGTTTTAGGGATCCACCTAGCTCGGATCTAATTTTTGCACATGTGGAGATCCACTTTGCTCAGATTCAGCTTGCACATATATTGTAGAGATCCGCCTATACTCAGATATTAATATATTCCTTGCACATATTGTAAAGATCCACATAACTCGGATACCTGTGACACATTCTTGGCTACTAACACCGTAAAGATAATCTGAAAGAAGAAAAAAAGCTTTAGTGCAAAATCCAAAAAAAAATAAGTTGAATTATTCATAAAACGTTAAAAGAGTGAGTTTTCCTTATTCCCTTACATTGGGATTAAGCAAAAAAAAAGCTTGGAGAAGTAGAAGTTTTATGAGTTTTTTTTTAAATTTTAATAGTCGCAATCAAATATATTTTTTTCTTGCAAGCAGAACGATTTTCCACATTTGGAAGTTGAATGAGTCGCATGCTGCCCACCGCCTAAACCCATATGTTGTAAAATTTTGTTGTATAGCTTTTTAAATCATCCTTTGATTTGACAAATAATTTTATACTTTCATGTCACTTCTGATTATATTTTTTCTTCGTATTCGTATTGTAGAGAAACTAAAATAATGGTTCTTTATTTAAAAAAAAAATTCTTTTTATTATTATTGCAAAATATTCAAATAAAATTCAAAAGTAAAAAACGGAATACGAAAAAAACAAAATTATTGAAATATTTTTAGACTAGACCGTAAAAAGAAAATTTATAAAAATTATTGCTTTTGGCCCTCCAATATATCATTTAATCACGAAAGGGTGATTATTTTACATATATTAATAAGTATGTGTATGTAATTTTATGAATTCAAATTTCAAATATTAAAAAACTGACAATAACTGTGTCCGTGTCCTTATAAATTTTCTCAAATTATTGATTTGAAGTGAACAAATTTGAATACACCTACTTTTGTTGAAAGTTTTAAATAGAACACGTTTCCAGACATTAAAACAATGCAAGGAAGCTGTTTCGATTCATGTGTGTTTACAGACCCCTACATTTCCATTTCGTAATTTCTTTTATATTAACAGGTTTTTTTGAAATTTCCTATAAATGGAAAATATACTTAGATTAGGTAAGACATGGCGTAACAATGCACCATGACCCAAGGGAATCTGTTGTGACTGACAAAACAAGACGAGAAAAATGTTTTAAGATAACGGTTTCTCAAATAAATAAGTTTATATTCAAGAATTTAAATTTAAATAATTCAAAAGTATTTGGCTTATAAATATAAAAAAAGCACCAAAACTTCATCCAATTCTTTTGTTTGACAAAACGGAGTAAATTTGCTGCTATTTGTGGTCAAATGATTACGGGTAGACCATCATATTGATTTTTTTTCTATGCTTATCAAAATTTCTTACAATTAATTTAAAAATTTTATAATATTGACCTATTTTTTTAGATTTAACATTTAAGCATTTCATAGAATTAAATCCAGAGCACGAAATTAAACTTCATAGAAAAATGATTGATGATTTTTAATTTGCTTCACATAAAAGATAAATTAATCAAATTTCCTTCAGTTTTATTTTACTTCACAATTAATTAGAGGACAGCGCAATTAACTGAAAATTTTGATGATGAGGGGAAATTTTTGTTACAAAAAAAATCAAGGAAGCAACATTTTTAAAATGGCTTATTTTGTAATAACAGCAGTCAGTGGTAAGGCCCAAACAAATATTATATATTTGCTTAACAGCATTTTTAAAGCTCTAAAATTTTTTGTACTAACTAGTCCATGACACAAAAGTTTGCACTAGAAACGTAAATTATTTAAAAAGTTATTATTTTTAAAAGGATTTCCGTCTTTAATATCTTCTTGAATGAGTTTATGTTCCATTGTTGTTTAGCTCTTTTTAAAATAGCCTATTATCTATTGCAGAAATAAGTAATTTTTTTTTTACATTTCTTATTTTCTTGTTTGTTTATGAAATAAAACATTTGTTTCCCATAGATTAACAATTTCTGTATTAAATTAGAAGAATATAGAACAGAGTAAGTTTTTTAATAGAATCATATATACATATAAAATCTTTCATAAATGACAAAAATATTTATCTAAAAGAAAGTTAAAAAGAAAATTAAAATATCAATGAAAACAAGCAAAATTAATGGAAAGCTCCTTTTAACATCAAATTGATTCTACTTTCTTTGCTTGCTTTTAAAATTTGAAATAAAGAAAGATAAATATAAAATATTGTAAATTTTTCTTCAAAGTGAAACTTTTGAAAACTTTTTTAACCAAAATATTTAAAAATATGAAAAATATCGTACTTAATAAGCACATTAATAAAAGCTTCTTTATTAATGGGCAATTATAAAAGCTTCTAACTTATGGTGTATTTTCAAAATAATTCATTTTTGCAACATAATATTTTATTTTTAGATGTAGTTTTGCACAACTATAGCACTTTAACAGATTCGCTAATCTCAATTCCTAATAATTTAAAAATGTAGATTCCAACAATACGAGTACCTACTTGAATTTGCATTCCTTCTTATACATATTAACTATGATATATCTCCTTTTTTGTTTTTATGTTATAAAATTAAAATTTTGTTTCATAGCCAATTAATTTCAATTTATATATTTTTTAAATAGTGTATATATATTTAATTTTATAATTACATAAAAACTTTACAAAATTATACATGTTTTTTACATTGGGAAGAGTTTGATTTGTTTTTACAGTAGTTTGTAAAAATTTTATCCATTCAGTAATCTTTTAATTAAAATTGTTATTTGCTGCTAAAAAACAAAGTAGGTACTTAACAAATATATTTTCCACGCTTTGAATATAGGTCGGCATTATATAGCTATTATTATCCCTCAAAGGGTAACTAAAATTATTTCTCCCTCATTTTCAATTTTTTACAAAAAAAAAAAATCATTTTATACATAAATCTCTTTGAAAACAGAAATTTAACAAAAAACAAATTACATTCAAACAAAAATAAAGTAAATTTTTTTTTTTAATTTTGCCGGAGAGAAAAATATTCTAAATAAAAAAAATATTCCTTTACGTCAAAGAAAAATTAATTTTGCAGTTTAAAACCTTCTCTTTAATCTTTAATATACAGCGTAAAAAGTTACAAACACCTTTGGAAATCAAATAAGTGGAAAAAAAATATTTCAGAATTCCGCAATTGGTTAAAATAGTTATAAATAAAATAAACTTGTGTCAACGTTGACCAAATAGATTTTTTTTAGAAAAAGGTTTTATAAAAATGATTATATCAAAAAGTTTAAAAGCACTAGTTTTAACATAAATGTTATTTACAAATTTAAAATTGCCATACGAAGTGAGTTCTGTTTGAAGAACAAAATTTATAGCCGAATTTCAATATTCTTTTAAAAAAAATTCAAAATTTATTACTGAGGAACTTGATTTAATAAAGATTTTTTAAAGTTTTTAAATGGTTGCGCAAACCTTCCTTAAGTAATGGCAAACTAATACTAAAACCTCATAGTACCATATGGTGAACCCTTTATACTCTACAATCAGTCGATCTGAAAATACTATTTTATGTACGATTTAAGTTTATAATTAAAATTTTAATCTTTAAAATATCTATATACACACATATGTACACATGTAACAAAGATTACATTGAAACTATTTTTTCGTAATTGTTTACAGCAGCAAAAAAATAACAGCTAACCATATGCATATAAATTTAAAAAAAACCACCAAAACCACTAATTACAAAAAAGTTAATTCGACCGTATGCTCTCCAATACAATTATGACCTTTGTTGAACTGATGATTTGTAGCAGGTCAATAATGTTTAATTATCAATTATTTACAATTTTTTATCCAATAACGTACTTATAATTTCATAAATATCATAATGAAAAATTCAAAACATTGTTTTTGAAAATTTGTTTTTAGCATTTATTTTAAATATCAGGTGTTTGTAATTAAGTTTGAATAAAGAACGTTTAATTCAATGAATTAAGCTGATATTGTTCATTATAGTATAATTTATGAATCACGTTACTACTCGGAAATATACATACTTATTTGCCAGTGTGATCTTATCTTAACTATTCAATTGAGATGCAGTTATGTATAGTAGCACTAAATACAAAATTAATGCAACAATCATACAGATAAGGTAAGACATTTTAGTTTGCTACTTCATTTACTCAACAGAAACAATTATGAAATATTAAAGTGCAGTACATTTTCATGCTGTTGTCATAAAGAAAATTGAATTGAATTTAAGTAGAATTCAACTACTGTTGTCAGTGGCAAATAGTTTTAGGTTTGACAATACAAGTCTCCAAATTAAGGTTACCATTCTAAACGTTAAATTCCAGAAATGAAAATCAATTTTGACAAATCATACTTGCTCCCGCATTTTTTTACACTTCTTCAATTTGATTTTTAACAACTTTAAAAAAGTAATCCAAAAGGAAATGATTTTTAATTTTTTCCTTTTATTTGTTTTGATTTTTCCTGTGTCCTTTTCAATATTTTTTCCTTCATTATTTTTAAGTTTTCCTCTTTTCCTTGTGTATAGTCTTTTGTAATAAACATAATTTTTTATAATTTTCCCTTTAGAAAATTTTATAATAGGAATTGCATTTTCAAGGATATCGCCATCTAAATACGATTACATATTTCAATAAATATTTTGCCATACAAAAATATTAAAGAACATTTTATGAAATTGAGCAGACTTTTCTATTTTTGCATTTATTTTTTTTCTTGTCCCACTTCAAATTTAAAGTAACAACCTAATTATTTTTGTCTGGTTAATTTTATAACTTTTGTACAATGCATATTAAAAATTTATTTTGTTTTAATATTAAATAAAAAGAAAGCAATTAGGAGAAATATAAGAACTTAATAGTAGTTGTTTTGACGATTTCTTAATCAAAATAAGTACAGAAAAACTTGTTTATTTTATTTTTAATGCCGTTCAGTAAGGTTTACAAGTTAAGTCTTAATTTTTTGTGCTTAAACAATCAAAAAAACACTATTATGAATTTATTTATTTGTTTTTTAGAAGTTATAATTGAAAATTTATGAAGTTCTGCAATAGCGTGAAAATATTATAGAGATGCAACGCACGCTTACGGAAAGTTTTAACGTACGTGGTGCAAAAACTGAATCTTAAAAAGTTTACGACAGACTTTTTTAAGTGTTGCACCTTGAAAGTGTCAAAACAATTCGAAGAAATTAAATTTGCATTTTTAGTCATTTTCAATTACAAACTTTTTTTTACTTTAAGTTTATTATGTAGATACTTATTACACAGAAAAATTAAATGGCAAAATAAAAAAGCATGGCATTAAAAAAAATGGCATTCTTGCAACAATAATTTTAGAGCTTTGAAAGTGAAGTTTACTTTAAAAACTAAAAATGTAAGAGTCACGGGCTATGTTATCAGAATCAGAAATGCCTCTGATGAGTGTGGAAACTGTTTTATAAATCTTGAAGTGTATAAAATACACCTTAATTTTACAAAAGTCGACAGAAAAAAAATATATGAACCAAGATGAAACTTTTTGACTAAAACATTAGTCTAACTTGACTGAGTATAATAACTAGCTCATGTTGGAAAAATATAACCTTTTACGTCCAAATTATTGAAAATAAGCATTTGAATTATAACTTTAACAAGAAAGTATAGAACAAACTTATAAAAAAACCCCAAAACTTTAAATTATGAAAAAAAATCTTCCAAATAATACAAAATTATCAGCATGACAAAGTTATACCTAAGTAACATTCGCAATTTTATTCATGATTTCATATGTTTTTATTAAAATTGGAAATAAAAATAAAGAGATTCCAGGAAAAAGAAACTTCGTCATCGAATCATAATAGGTTGTGTACGAAAATTTTATTTGAATATCATTAAACGATAAAGATGTATGCATATACATATGTATAAGTAGATTCATATGCATACATATTTTTTTTTATCACAATGACCTTGGAAGCAAAATTACGCAATCGAATTTTGTTTTTTACATAACAAATGAACACAAATACAAGAGTAAACAAAGTATTTCCAATTAAATTTTTGCAAACTGACGTGCTTATGTACGTCAATACTCAACATAAAATTCAATTTTCGACGAAATCATAATCAAATATAATCAATGATGAAATTATAATTTCAAGTGAATGGATAGCTTTAGATTATAACTATTGAATTTTCATAACTATTGAGTTTCATTATTTGTTTATAATTTCAGTGATTCAATTTAATTATTTTGCTTATATTTGATAACTCTACCCTTAAACTTAAAGCTTTTAAGGAATAATATAGGCTTAAACTTAAAGCAATCTTATATCTTAAGTAATATAGGAATATAATTTAAGATATAAGATTATAAATATATAAACGTTTTTTTATGGTTCTTCTAATGTATCAATAAATTCTAAAAACACAAACTACATTCACATTCATTTTCGAATTCCTTTTAAATTAAAAACATTTTATATTGTAACTAAGTTAGTTTTTGTGTTTCAAATGTTAAAAAAAGCACCTGTCTTCTCTTCTAACTAATAGCCGCATATCATGCGAAAAAAATAAGATAACATTTTATAATATTAAGAGATTTCATTTATGTATACTAGTAAAACGTTCTGTTGTTGTTATTCTTTATAAACCACTTAAATATAAGCCCTAATTCATGTGTGAAATTACGCACTACTTCAAATTACTTACCTAATCTTCTATGTAAAGTAATTTTCATACATAATACCATATTATTATGTTGTAAATGTCCTTAAAGCCATACATTGCCTCAATACTTGTCTTCTTATTCATTCAGTCCGCCTAAAAATATGTTTTAATTAATCAAATTTTACTATGATATAATATTATAATAATTTAAATTATTTTTCTATTCTATGTTATTAATATCCTGGAATTAATAAAAAAAAAATATATATAGAACCCAAACCAAAATATTTTATATATATTCATACTTACATGCACAAACGCTTTATAAACATATCATACACATACATACATTTGTTGAAATATTACATTTTGTACTTAAAAAATTTCCTTAAAATAGGAGGACATCATAAAATAAAATCGATAATCGAATCTTTTTTTTCTATTTATATTCAATGACATTTCGTTCTTTTATGTTTTTATGAAAATTATCGTCATCAACAGTACGTACCGTACAACAACACTCCTTGTTCTTTTTACTTCCTTTTTTGTGTTGCTGTTTTGTTTCTGTTTGATACGCCAAATATCCTTAAACTTTGATTATTTTCAAGGATAATTTTTTATTTTTCTTTTCTATATTACTCCTATTCTTTTTATTCCCACTTATTTTATTATGTATATGTATAGGATTTGTGTGTATTAAAGATGTTATCATTATTTTATTGCTCTTTCGATTTCTTTCTACTCAACCCACTTCCTACTATTCCTTTTCTGTTTTTGGTTTATTTTTTGTTTTTTCCATCGGTAAATGATTTTGCTGTGGAGTTTACATACACGTGTACAAGCTAAAAAAGAAAATATCCTTCTGTAATTGTTTGTTTGTCGTTCTTCTGTGAATATAGTAAATATACATATCGTATACAATACACATAAAAATAAAATTAATGACGTCATAAATATGGTTTCATTATCCATTTTTTTTTGTTTTACACTCCGATACGATGTGATACAAGATAAACGTCATAAATATGACGTACAATACTAATGAAATGGAATAATAGTCCACCTACAATGTTCTTTCAAAAGAATTAGATACTACAGTATTGATATTTCAAGCTTATATGGATCGTAACGTAGGTTGCCATTAACGTATATTGTGCACCGTTCATTTTAGCAATAATAAACAAAAGGTAAAATATAACAACAAAGGAAAAAAAATGTCAGAACGCCCTCGCATAAATTATTAAAACTGTAGCGTAAAAAAACTTGCTTTTCCTTTTTTTTTTATTTTTGTGTTTTTAATTATGAAGTAGGTTTGCGTACGAGAAAATAAAAATGAATACTATTATGTATAATAAAAATTAATGGTTTTTTATAAATATTTTTTGTAGGTAGCCAGTGGGTAAATTGAATTATTATATGGGAAGGAATCAAAAATAAATAAAATAGAATTCATTATTTTTTAATTTATTTTCATAGCTATAAAGAACATATAGTGTTGGGTTGCAAAGTATATCTTTCTAGGCTTTCTTTACCTATTAAAAAAAAGTGTATTAGAACAAACTGGTGCTTTTTTGAAAGGGGAGAGGAGAAAAGCGAAGGCGTCGCCAGATACTGACCTATGAAAGAATCACCTGTCAACCGAGTTCTGTCAACTCCGAAAAGAATCAGCTTTAATGAAGGCAGACGACCTCCTGCACGAACTTCAATAAATATGTTGTGAAAATAACTGAAAGTTCTTAGGAAAATTTGCCTCCTATCGAAAACGAATATAAAACATTCCTCATGTCCTACAACACCAGAATTTCCATAGAGTATGAACAACTCTATTCATACATTAAACTTATAATGATACAATCATAAATTCCTATAATCGAAATCAAATGTTTAACATAACCAAAATTTACTCTGGCTCATCAAAAATTTTATATAGAATTATAAAATTTTTTTTCGCTTTTTTTTTCAAAATTAAATTGCCTATTGATGGGTATAGTTGTCAAAAATAAATTAGAATAATAAAAAATTGCAAAACAAAAAGGATGTAGATATGTATTTGGAAAATGATAAAACTTTTAGCCTTTGGTAGAATTAAGATATTGCATTTTTTGTGTGTAACTTAAAAATTATATTTAATTTTTTCTATAGGTTCTGCCGGGTATTGTATAAAGTAGTTTGTAGGTTCGTTTTTTTATATCACCCCTACTAGACTAGATACACACTTTTTTCTTAAACGCCTACGTAATTTGTATTTGCGTTCATGTTATTATCCTTTATAAAAATGTATGTAATTCTGACTGTAATAAAATGTGTAGGTTATTTTGCCGTATAATTTCTAACTGCATATATATATTGAGTCTCTAGAGCACAAATTTATGTATATTTAATTTAGTTATTGCTTTCAATACTATAATTATTAATATAAGATATCTTATATTATCCTGTATAGCAATTTATTTTAAAGTAATTTAATGGCAATATCCTTTTTGTTTTTTAATTCTATAGGCAAATACAGCATTTTTGATAAAAAAAAATTATTATTTTTATGAAGTAATGAAGTTACACACATAATTTAAGTACAGGTAGAAAATTTTTGAGATATCAAAACAGAAAATTTTTCGGAAAAAGTTATGAAGTCATGCTAAAGTCTTTTGATTACTATTGCCAAGGAAGATGAAAAAGACTGATGGTTTTGAATATTTTTGTGTTTTCTCTTTTATTGATTCCCATATATATAAAATAGGTCTCCTTTCTGGTTGTGGAAAACTGCGTGTTAAGTATTTTTTTTAAATTTCAACACCGGCATCGCTCTCATCGTCGGACCCTTTGGTAAATGGATACACGTCAAATTTATCCCCTGCAAAAAAGGGATTCGGACGTAAATCCTTTACAAAGCCTTGTTATTAAAAATATAGGAATACAAATGCATATAGAAAAAAATCTATTGAAATTATTTCTTAAATACAAATTGTATAAATTTTAGGAAATTACTTGCCGACAAGATGCTAACACTCTAACTATAAATAATTCTAATTTATATAAAGCAAATTTTTTTTGTTTTTACAATTTTCCATATAAAACAAATTATAAGGAACTTTGAAAATATTAAGTATGAACCTTAAAATATGACAAGAATTGAAAATAATGAACCAAGAACATCTTTTTGCAAAAAAACGATTCGCGTGGCGAGCGTATTAAAAAAGTTTGCATATTTAAAATTAAATAAATTCCTAAAATTTAAATCTATAAAGTAAATGTTAGAAATGATATTTTGAAAATATTTTCCTAGAAAGACGTATTTAGAACCATCAAGCTTCCTTCATTGACACCAAAAATTATTTCTTAATAACAATCTGCTATTCATAATAACAAATTAAACACTTAAATTGCATTGCAACAATATATTTACCTATGTATAAATACTTAAGCCATAAACATCTTCCTGGTTACGTATTTTTAAAATAATTGTATCGTTTTTCATTTTAATAAGTCATGCGTTTCACATTGCAGGAAAAAATTGATATATCTCAAAAACTTCCATGTGTTCTGCAAATAAAGGCAAATATGTTTTAAAAATCTGCACTATACCCAATTTTTTCTGTTAATTAAGACCCGAGAATCCACTAACATTTCAACAATATTTCATTCAATTCTTATTAAAACAATTTTGCTATTTAAAAAAAATTACATACATACATACATATTTGCTAATCTGTATGTATTTATGTATTAGTTCTATGCTTAAGCATAAAAACTTACTTTTTAGTTACACCAATTAAAAAATAAACTTCATTTAAATTTTACACTAGCCTATACTTAACAGATTTATACTTACTAAGTTAATATTTGGCTTCATAAGACTGAATCGACCAATTCCATCTTCATCTCAAACAAATAAAAGGAATTTCAAGAATTAAGAAGAATATTATTAGAACAATTACAATTTAAATCTTTAATCAATGAACACGCAAACCCAAAAAACAAGTTTATCTAATTTTTTGTGAACGCACCTTGTCCAATTATATGGAAATGTAACACAAAATCCCTCTTTTCTTCATATTTAAAATTTATCATTTCTTTATACATAAGTATTTCAAATTTATCATATTTTGTCACTTTTAATTCTTAATACATACTATATTATTAAAAATTTTACAATATACATATACTTATACATAATTACCTTAAGCTCGTGAACAAACAGCATTTTTCACAAAAATTTTTTTTAAAATTCTTCCGTTATCTTTTACTGCTTTTTTTGGTTAAATTTCTTTAAAACTTCAAAATCGAAAAGTCAATTTTGACTTATGATACAGTGATACAACATTTTGGTGACTGTGTCGCTACATTTAGCGATTTTTTATTTTCCAGAGCGATAAATCAAATGAAATTATGACAGCGACTTTTTTTAGTGATTTTTAAAAAGATTTTTAGTGATATTTAATTACTTTAGCGACTTTTTTCTTTTGGTAGTCTTCATCTAATTTCAGTTACGTAAATTTTCAAAATTATGAAAATGAATGTATTTAAAACTAAAATAGAGAACCGAAGAACTTTAAAATCACTTGTGTATTTGAAGAAATTTTGAAAAGTATTTTCACTTTACTCAAGTATATATCTACTCGTTATATTTTTTCACTGAAAAATTTGGAAAAAGCTTCTTAAATGTGGATATAAACGAAAATGCTTTTGAAATAATTTTTGAAGATTGAGAAAATATTTAAGTTCTTTAGTTCCGTATGGTGTTTTTAGAATAAATGGAAGTTGCATCTAAACGAAAATTAACATCTTGGAACGACTCAAACTTCTTTGATGTAAGTTTTTTTTAAATATATATAATATAATTAAATATGTAATGTTACATATATTTAGTTGTATCAATATAATTACAAGTTAGTAATTATAAGTTAGCAAAAAAATTGAAGCCTTAAGTAGCAACTAACATTTTAGCAGAGCTATTTAAGACTTCAATTTTTATAAATACCTTTATAAATTTATCATTTTAAAATAAATATAATAAAAATTAAGCTCGTTTTGTTTAAAAACTTTAACATAAATTACGTCTCAAGGGTGTAATATGTATTTTTTATAACAATATTAATAGATTTTTAAACATGAACATTTTTCTCATAAACCATTTTAAAAAAATTGGGAGTAAAGAGGACCTTTAAATAACACACACATTCAATTTTAGCATGAATACACAAAATTTAAATCAAAAACAAATTTTCTAAGGTTAAGAAACAAAAAAAATTAAATTATGTATACTCTACTACATACTAAGTACGTAGGTAATTTTTATTATTATTTTTATTATTCTATATTTTAAAAACTTAAATATATATGTAATTTTTAATGACATAATGTACGTTTCATATATTCATCGTGATCTTCTCAATAGAAACCATAACCAATAAGTGTGAACATGTGATATATATAGGTATACATAAATATTGAATTTAAATCGGCAAATTTTAGAACAGAAATGGAACATTATAAATAGATCATATGATATTGAAATCAAAATATCTATTATTAAATTGAAAATTTCATTTTATTGATTTATGAATAATAAAATAACAAGGTTAAGCTATTGAAATATATTCTTAAAATACAGTAGTTTCCCGACGGTGTTAAATGACAACTTACATAATGTTTAGTTATAATTAGCATATTAAAGAAAAACAAAATATTTTTTAATAATTACCATGAAATGAATTTTTTTTGAAAGAAATGAATGGGTTGCAGACCTGGTCTCAACTCCAACATGTTTAGAAACTTGCAATGCGAAACTTAAACTACATTTGCAATAAATTTGATATTTGAGAAATGATTTCAATCAATTTTCCAAAGCCAATCAATTTTAAGCAAAATTGAATTCGAAAAGTGTGTTAATTTTTGAATGACAGGTTTTTTAATAAAACCTTTTATCTAATATGCAAATGTAGTAGAGAAAGTGTGATTGCGTTTTTGGCAGAATATCAATTCCAGAGCATATTTTTCGAAAATTATGCTTTTTTTCCATAAAAAGGTTGACGGAAACTTAAAAAAATTTTTTTTTATCTAAAATTTTTGTTTTTCTGAAATTCAAAATTTTCCAGGAAAATTTGATATTGTTAATTTTTAAATGTGTGAATTGACAATAACCACATCAATTTGACATTCGAAAAAAAAACAATCAAAAAATAGAAAAAAATAAACCTACCGAAAAGTCGAAAATATCAATATGTTGTGTAGGCGCGTAGGTCATTTGGGTAACCCGATTTTACATATACGGGTATAAAAACATTGTTATATAAGCACTTCCTACTATGCGTTTATAGCGTTGTAACCCCAAAGTACTACGCTAAAGCTCTCCATACTACTGTTCTTGTTACAAAAATATTGGACAACTACTGAAAGAGGTGTTATTATTTTAATTTTACCGTGTTATTGACGTAATGAAGACATTGTTTTCGTTAGAATACTTGTAATCTATTTTTATAATAACTTTTATTTTTGAAATTCTTTATATAGAATATTTATATTTAGAGTTATTTTCTATTTTAAAACTCTATATATTTCTATTGTACTGGTACTTTTTAATCACTGCCTTAGCTTCATAAGGCTACCGTGAAGAGAGAGTAACCCTCATTTTCCTTTTATAAAGGAATTAGTTTATATGAAGGAAAATCTTCACCGCCCTTTTGTGTCTTAAGTCATAATGCACAAAATATAATAATAGCTCGTGAAAGTTCTAGGCTGTTAAAGTTTAGTTTGATGAAGAGCTAAATAAAGTTTAGAAAAAGAAGATATACAGGACAAAAATTTGAAAGAATATTATATTTCGCGATTGAATAGAATTATTTTCGAAAGTTTATACTAAAATAAAATCCTAAATGTTTAAAATCCTAAAATGTGTTCCAGGGTCACATTCTTAATTTTATAACTTAAAAAACTTTTGTAAGATGTCTACGCAGTATGCAGATAAAATTTTATTGTTTGTAAACTAAAATCGGACACTCATAAAACATTAGGACTAAAATTTAGTCATATTTTTTTATATACATTTCTATATAAATTTACGCGGATAGATGCAAAGTGATTAAACGCAAAATGTGGTTAAAAACAACCTTTTATAATGACACCTAATAATTAAATAGGTTAATTAAAATGTTGACGATTTATATACCCTTATAATAGTGAAAAGTTAATTTTTTTTATGGCATCCCCGACAATTTGTCAAAGCGGAATTTTGCGAACTGAGAAATTGTCAAATGTCAGTTAGCAAAATTCCGCTCAAAAATCGTTTGGCGTCAGTTAGTTTTGGAGATTAATTTAGCGGAAGTGGATAGAATAGTAATTGATGCGAAAAAAAAATTTAATTTAGTTTGGATAAATTAAAGAAAAAGAATTTATGAAATTTTTGTATAATTTCAAAAGCTGTGCCTTTATACCTATTAAGGATAATTGCATATGTACGAGGTCCCAACAAATGGAAAACTCGGCTAAATGCAATTTTATGTTGGGCCTAAATATCCGTGTTCTATTAATTTTACCGCTAAAGTTCTATATTTTACAATAAACAAAGCTTTTTTGTTAAAAAAAAGTTAAACAATCGTGTTTAAAAAATTAATTTTTTCTATAATATAAGCATTAAAAAAATTGTAATGGAAGCTAATATACATATGTACATAATATTATGTACATTGAAGCCACTAGCTATAATTATACACACATTTATGGATAAATAAAACAAACAACAAATACTATATATGAATGTATATAAGAAGAAATAGGAAAAAAAACAAACTGAAGAAAAAAACTATAGTCGGCTTGTATCGGAATAAAAAATAAGAAAATCAAAAAAAGAAGAAGTAATCAGCCAAGTTTTCAATCTAAACAAAAATAAAAACAAAACACATTCCAGTTACATACTGCGTTATTTCATCATCACATTCGTATACATATATGTACATATAACAATTTTACAACTCATTAGACACGAGTGTTAAGTGACTTAAGTTATAAAAATTTTTATGTGGCAAAACAATAAATATAAAAAGGTAAGAAAATATGTGTGTATAAATGTGTGTGAATACTGTAATACATGTTTACTTATAATATAAGTAGAGTTGGTATATAAATTGGTGTTATAATTATATATAGATAAATATATGTTCTTGTATGTAGAACGAAATGTGAATAGAATAACATTATCAATTCTGTTCGATTGATTATTAAAGAGTTATAAAATATAGCGTATAATTTGTACATGATATGTATACTACATTGTTCATTCTTATGTAAGTGGGTACATGTCTACATATATAGCGCATTAGATATAATAATATTTATGAATATGCTTGTAATAAATTCTGCAACTGAATGTTAAGTGATAAGGTTTCTCATTTCTTAAATATTATATTTCGAAGAAAGTGAGTGAAACATTAATTTAGAAATTTTAATATTTATAATACTAAAATTTTTACAAAATTTAGTAAGTGAAAGTAAATATTTTTCATTTTATGCATTTATTAATTACATTTAATTTAATTTTTGAACATTTAATTTTTTTTGAATATCTAGGTCTGTATATTTAAATTACATAATATGTACAACGTATGTATGTATGTATGCAGGTATAATAACTCATTTAGAGTGCTTTTAAAATAAATTAGGTGTTCCAAATTTCACACATATAATTTAATGTACAAATACGTAGGGTTATAACAAATGGATATTCATATTTGTGTTTATATGAGCGAATATTGAAAATTTTAAAGTGTTTTATAAAATAGTACTCTTTCATACAATAAATAAATTATAAACCTAAATAAATTCTTCATTATAATAATGAAAACTCATAATAAGCGTTTACAACACAAGTATGAAAAACAAGAAAAAAAGATTTGAAGAAAATTATTATAAATTTGATGTCTTTACTACAACAACAAAGCAGAAAATGAAAACGAACATTTGATGTTTTAATTAACGTTATAAATTTTTACAGTTACGGAGCTATTTTTCTTATTATCTAATTTATTTCTTATTTTTGTTTTATTATGTTTTGAATATTATTTATTATTTCTCTTTTTATCTTTTGAAAAACTGAAATAGTTCCTGTTTTCACAATCCCCCCGAACTTTTGTTACAAAAGCAGAACAAAAAGCCTTTTATCTTATATTTATTTTTATAGAGAAAAAAATTCGTGCTCGTGAATTTTGTGATGAAAAGTACAAATTCTCTCTCGATTTACTCAGATTTATTTCTCTATTGTAACTGCAAGTAAGAAAGTATATTTAGCTAGAAAATTTGAGAGATTATGATAAATCTATGTTAAGTTAACAGATAATAATGTTAATTTTAAATACAAAGAATCTAGCTTACCAAAAACAGTTGATGGACATAACATAATATTATGTGCAAATACAATTATTTCAAAAATCTCTTCTATACATTATAATATACGCATTCAACAGAGAATGATAAACCTGAAGAATGCAAATTAAAGAGAATCTCAATTATATTGAAGTATTTTAAGAGAACTTTTACTGAGAATAATTGTGAAATTTTTTAAATTGAGAGAACAATTTAACATACAAGAGATATTCGCTCTTTCGTGTATAAATACTTTACGACTTCTATCATTATATTACGACTTCTACAATCTACCGTTTTAATTTTACAAAATTTTGTGGTGATAATAAACCAGTTTATTTTGTATTTCACTATTTCAATATTATATATTATTATCTATGTAAACATGTTTAAATCAAATATAATTTCTTTGGGAAAAAATTTATTTAAATAAAATTCACGTAAAATATGTACATACATACATATGTTTGTTAAAGAGAAATGTGTCAAACTAATTTAATTTAATAAAAAGTTTATTGCATGTTCGCATTTCGTATAAAAAAGTATTTTTAGGAAAGAAATTACTCCTAATTTTTAAGTTAAGTAATACCTACATAGATACGTTCATATAAAGGTATTTGTCAAATTTATTTCATGAAATGTAAAACAAATTTAAATAATTATATATATTTGTGTGCATGTACTAACTACTTAGGCATGCATATAAAATACAATAGCCTTCAATATAATTATCGAAAAATGAGAGCGTGAAATTGAAGTTACAAGAAGATTTTTCTTATGATTTGTAAAAGCCAAACTTTTTAACAGTTTGTTCTGTAAGAGTATTTTAATGAAACGATAAAATGAAAGTTATAAGGAAAATGTGAAGACGAAACTGCTTTGCTTCCTTTTAAATTTTTAGTAAATTAAATGTACGTATGCATGTGTGAATGCCTCTATTTAGGGTAGAAAGATTGCGAAACGATTATGTACATAATAACTGAATGTAAATAATATGAAGCTCTTCTATTTTATTGCAATGCACTCATGGACAAACGTAAATAGCTTTTAGTTCATAATTAAGGCATGTACATATCTTAATTTTTCCAAATTTTAAGTCCAAATTTTTACGCTTATTTAACACGACACAGCCATATCATGAATGTATTTTGTGTAAATTGTATATATGGGTGTTAAATTTTTGTATGCATATTATTTATCCATGTACTTTTATAATTTAAAGCGTGCATACATAAATATAATTCTATACATACTTTTTATTTCTCGGTGACGAAGGCTTTTTTACTCAGATACTTTTTACTCACGCACACTACACTGTTTTTTAGTAGGGTTAGTCATATTTTCGATAAAGTGTGTGTAATATTAAAATTTGTACAGATATGTAGCATTTAAATGTGGTAAATTTTATAATAACGACACTATACATTTTGATTTCCACACGTCATATTGGCTAAATGATATACATCAGTGTAAAATTTTTTAAATTCTCCATAAGCAAAACTCATTCTGATATTCACCGTTTGTCATGCAAAACGCAAAGAGAGAGGAAGACCTAAAATCATAATAAAAAAAATAAAAACTAATTTGTTGTTGCACAAAAGAGTAAAATTCTTGAACAAATTTTATTTAAATTTGTAGTTTTAAAATTATATGGTACTTCTGTTATATGGTTGAATGATGATGGATCCACCTAACTCGCATGCTTGTGCTGCATTTACTATAAAAACTACACTTTTATAACCTTTTTTTGCCATAGAAACAATTATTTTATTAAATTTTTAAAGAAAAAATTATTTTTGCAACATACGTTTTTATTTTGATACGTAGCTTGAGTAACACGAAATGTAAATATGTACCTATGAGAAGCACAAAAGTGTACAGAATTCGATAAAGATATCGAGTAAAAAGAGCAGATTGTATAAAATGTTATGGGCTATGGCCTAAACTTTGAATGTGTGTGTCATTTAGTTATGGCATTCATACTCAGGTTGTTCATAATATAAAAATGATTGTCGAATGAATAAAATTAGCTCTTTTTAAAATAAAGCGAACAAAAATAAAAGAGAATAAGAAGAGAATTAAAATTTTGGTAAGAATGAAAATTGAGGATTGAACTCTTGTAATAACTCTTTAGTAGTGTAAGTGTAAGTATACATTTGTGTGCGGCAGAAAAAAAAAGCAATTGGAAAAAAATGTAATTTTAATCAAAACGAAATAATAAAAGCATTGGAGAAGTGATTCACCTTCAATTTCATTTAAGTGACATGTTTTCTAAAATCTGACGCTGTTGTTATGAAGTATTTATATTAGTTGTTTAATTTTTTTGTTTTATTTAGGAATTGGTCTGGTTTTTAAAAGGATCCTAATGAATACATAATATCTAAGTAAATAAGATATATATACATATGTACATATTATGAGTCTATGTGTACATAGTTCTAAAGTTTACTGTTACATTTAGAGTTCACAAATAAAACTGATTCCTAATCAGTATATGTATATTCATAAGTATGTATGTATGTGCGTATGTACGAATAAACATAACGATACCTAATTAAAACTCAATTCCCAGTTGTTGGGGTTTAAGAATACATTGTTAAAATTTGCGATTAAAACGTTAGCTTTATTGTTGTAATCAATATGTTCTTATATTTTGAAAATAAAATTTAAATATTTTAGCATACATTTTTCAATAATTCTAAATATGTATAGTCTCGTACATACTTATACATATGTAAAAGTATATATTATGATTATGCACAAATTAGCAACTAGAATGTAATTATTTCTCGTTCTTTATAAATTTCATATCGCATATTAAAGCACATTCCCTTTTTATGCGATTACCTAGGTTAATTTAATTAAGAATTTCTAAAAGAAACAAAGAAAACATTAAAAAAACCAAAACGAACTTAAAAATTCATTCATCATTTACTCTTCTATCCATTTATTGAATATTTACATACATACATATGTATGTATATTACAAATATAATTATGTATGTTTACAAAAAAACATATATAATATTATTACGTTTGTTTGAGCTTAGAAACATATGTAAATGTGGATGCATACACATAAAATAAATAATATTTTTTAATATTTAAAAGATATGTTTGAATGTTTGTATGTATGCATGTTTATTTATTTTTTACTTCCATACATACATATTATAAAATTTAATGTATAAATACCGTGACATGTTATTAATGTATTATAAAATATATATTACAGAGTTTTATACACAAATGATTGTGTTGTAGAAAAAGTAAATTTTTGCGAACCCTCATTTAATCTTTATTAACATGAAAAATAAACAGTAAAACATTAACAGCAAAAAAAATAATGTTGTGTGGTTTTTTTTTCTTATGATTTTTCTTTTATTATTATTATAATTATTATTATTATTATTATTATAATTGTTATTATTTTCCGACTCAGCATCTTACACATCAAGTGCACATACAACCTGTACAAGAGTTTACATACACGTTCAAACAATATCATACCTACAATCCGAATATAGCTATCTGTCAATTACACAAAGTAAACAAAAATTTTTTATATTTGTTTGCACATACATACGATACACATACAAATAGTTTTCATAAATACAAAATTTTTACACATTTTATATCAAAGACCATGTAAAGCTAATTTTCTACATACATACATAATGTTATATACGAGTGTATCAAAAATGTTATCTGTTAATTTGTGTAAGCACTTATATTACTGTACATTATTCAAATTCAATTCAACTCTCAATGTAAAACTCATGCATAGAATGATTAAAAAAAATTTCCAAATTTTTTCCTAATAAAAGGTAAAAGGTATAACGACATGATACATACATATATGTATATGAGTACGAGTGTAGTTTTACAACATATTTTGTCTAACTGTATAAACATAATAATTCAAAACATATGATTGTATAGACATGCAATTTAAGCGCTTTTTACATTAGATTAAAATAGTGTGTATAGCTATTCATAAATCACTACCTGGTATAAATAAAGCATGAAATAACATCTGTATACTTTGAAGTAAAATCGCCGTAGACAATTAAGTTAGTGTTATTAAGCTTATCCTATGAAACAAATAAGTTATATATATACACATGCAAGAGTTACACATAAGCATGAAGTAACCACAAGCCAGTAGGAACATTTAAGATGTAAATTTAATTACTGTTATAATAGATACACTTCAAAATCCAGAATTTCACTATTTTGTTTGACAAATCTATTTTTTCCTAATATTTTTTTTGCACTTTTTAAATGTGCCAAGTGGCTGTAGAGTAGTTATAAAAAGTATGCCAATTAAAAAGATCATTTATAAACAAGTGCTATGACATGCAATTAAGTAACTAAGTGAATCGGGATTAGTGCAAGAAATAATGACACAATTTGTAATATAAAATACAACGAATAATTTTCATGATCAATAATTTTTGCAAATCATTATTACGTGAATTTTTACACAAGCAAACTTGAATTTTATATTCTCTTCTTACTATTATTCAACTTTGGTTTGATTTATGTTATTATATAATAAATAAATATATTATTTTATTACATATTTCATATATACGTACATGTATATAAACACATACATATATTCAAACATGTTATGTTAATTTTTTAATTTAATGCATTTTTTCTTTTTCTCATAAATTCCTAAAAAATATGCACTAACTGGATCTGAGCAAGGTTGATCCCCACAATATATGCAAGAACTGAATCGGAAGTAGGTGAATCTTTGCAACATTTGTGAACTGGACCGAGAGGACAAAATATGCTTGAACTGTATGCTTGAGCTAGGTGAGTCCCATCAACATATTCAACAATTAGATCCGAACCAGGTGGTACCCTGCAATATGCACTACGACTGGATCTGAGTTAGGTGGATCCCTACAATACATGCACTGACTGGATCCGAATTAGGTCAATCCCACCAACATATTCAAGAAATGGAGGCGTACTGAGTGTATCCCTAAAAAATATACACAAATTGGATCAGAGCTAGGTGGATCCCTTCAATATATGCAAGAACTGAATCGGAACTAGGTGATTGTCTACAACTATTGTGAACTAGATCCGAGCTAGGTGGATCCCTAGAAAATATGCATGAACTGGATCCGAAGTAGGTGAGTCCCATCAAGACATTCAACAACCCAATCCGAGCTAGATGGATCCCTTCAATATACACATTGGCTGGATCCGAGCTAGGTGGATCCCATAAACAAATTTGACAATTGGATACGAGCTAGGTGGATTCCCACAATTTATGCTCGGTGAGTCCCATCAACTACTCAACAATCGGATCCGAGCTAGGTGGATCCCTGCAATATATACATGAGCTGAACCCGAACCAGGTGGATTCGTGCAATATATACATGGACTGGATCCGAACTAGATAGATTCCTGTAATATATACATGGATTGGATCTGAGCTGGGTGGATCCCATCAACAAATTCAATAACCGGATACGAACTATGTAGATTCGTATAATTTATGCATGAATCGGTTCCGAGCTAGGTGGATCCCATCAACAAATTCAATAACCGGATACGAACTATGTAGATTCGTATAATTTATGCATGAATCGGTTCCGAGCTAGGTGGATCCATCAACAAATTCAATAACCGGATACGAACTATGTAGATTCGTATAATTTATGCATGAATCGGTTCCGAGCTAGGTGGATCCAGCTGCTGCAATACATATCACATGTAGTAAGTAAATACAAATTTGTTATTGTAGTGTTGTAGTTCTTATTTTGTGTTAAAATAAATTTTGGATACTAAAGTAACACTAATAGAACGATAACATTTTGCTTGTAAATATTTTATGATAAATAATTTTGTTTAAATTATTTAAATTGAATTAAAAATTTAAATCAATATTTTTAAAACACTCTTGGTTCAGTTATATGTTCGGTTTTAGTGTTTAATTTTCTTTGTAGGAATAATTATTTTATAAAAAACTATCGAATATGTATAAATCAGATTTTCTCTTGCAAATAATAAATTCTATTTAAAATAATTTAATCCGGTTTAATCAAGTGCAAATAATAAACATGTTTATCCTTTGCTCTATGAAAAATCCTTGATTTTTAAAACGAAAAGTGCTGTATAGTTAGTACATCCATATGTAATACAGCTGTTATACGTTCAATATGTATATTATTTAACGAATAAATTTCAGTATTCCATAACTATTTTTTCAATTTTATTTTCATATTTCTAAATATCTATTCCATATTTAGGTTTTTTTTTAATTTCTCTTGGAAATCACATTTTATGTTCAGTTGAATTGATTTAAAAATTGACATATGTACTTGTTACAGTACATTCTGAAAATAGTTACAGTAAGCTTCTACTAAAAATTGTGAGACTAAATCTATTTTTTTTGTGGGAAAATATTTTGTATAAAATATGCAAACGGGGTACTTACATACATGAAATTTTAAAATATAAAAAACAAATTAAACTTTAATAAAAACATTTTGCTCACAAAATTTGCAACGGAAATTACTCTCACAGAAGCTAACCACTTTCTGTTTATTTAATTTATAGAAAGAACTTAACTTAAAAATTAAGTTCAAATAACATTGAGTGCGCATTATATCGATTTAAATATAATTCTGTCCCATTCTGTTGCTAGAAAATTAAAAAAATCTTACGATGATAGGAAAAAAAAAATAAAACTTGAAGTATATGAACTTTACTAAAATACTATGAAAGTCATTAAAATACTAAATTTGGATTTCAACACTATAAAAATTTTTTAATATTCATATGAGACTGCTTTTAGAAATATTCATATGTACGCACAGAGTTGCACATATCTCAAACCTTTTGGTTGAATTAAAATGATAGGAATTGTTAAAGACTTTATGACTCCAATCATTTCAAAGAAAATAATGAGGAATTTTAAAATTTGCTTAATTTATTAATTTTTCTTTTTATATTTCGATTATTCCATTGTAGAATAAATTTGTATGTTAGTTTTGGTTGTGAATAACTGTAATAACATGTGTGTATGTTCAAATGTGGGTATTATGTTTTTATTTCAGCTGTAATATTATAAATGATTAATAAATTTGTTGGTTTTGATATCTTTGTTTGTATATATATAACATGAATGGATGTTACTCTATAATGAAACATTTATTATTGCTTTAAAAAATAAATATAAGTAACTAAACATTAATATGTATGTGTTGAATTGGAACTAATAATGTTTTGACCTATGTGTTAAACTTTAGATTAGACATCTATGATGAATAAATTATGATAAAATCATATCATAATTTATTAATAATGTATTAGGGATCGCCAAAATAAAAATGTTTAAAAGATTAAATAAAATATTTAAAGAATTTTTGCACAACAGCAATAATGTACTCTGAGTATGAATTGTAGCCTAAACATTAGCCTTTTTAACTATTCAAAAACCAAATAAAATAAATTTTTTTTTTTTTTAAATATTTAGTCGCCCTACAATTAATATAAAATTTTCCAATATACCAGAGTAAAATTAGTGGGAAATACAAAAAAGAAAAAATTTTAGCCAATAGTAGTGAAAAATAGCAATTGATTAAATCAATGAATTCAGTGCTTCATACTTCTACCGTTATTCGATAGATTTATTGCAAAATTACAATAGAAAAATTTTCTAAATCCTCTTTGAATGAATAAGAAGCTAAAAAATGCTATCATATTTACAACAATCTGTTATTACACAGCTTCGCTTGCATCACAAATATTGATTTTTTATGATGTAAAAAACAGCAAAAGTAAAAAAAATTTGTTTTTTTTTTTTTTATTTTGTTATGTTGAAACCCTTAAAGATGCACACGTTCTCCAGTTTAATCGAATATACATACTCGCAAGTAAAATTAACAAAACAAAAAAAACTTTAGTTTGTAATAATATAATCAGAAGGTTAAAACGAAAAGAATAAAAGTGGTATATATTACTATTCGTTACTTTGCTTTGTTAAAATACGCGCACACATTGTATGTATGCACTATTGTATTGTTTCTTTTACATAAATGGTAACTATTTGTTTGATACCATCTCTTCAGTAAGATTTTTAACATGTTGTATATAATATAAAGTTAAATTATACTGAGAAATTTTAATGTTATAAGCTCAGATAATCATATTATAAAATATTTTTTTGGATTTTCTTTATTTGAACCATAGAATATTTGAGATTATCTGAACGAAATGATCTTAAACTAATATGATACTCAAAACTATATAGCCCAAATTTTTGTATCGCCCTAAAAATTATACGATCTAAAAAGAATTAACCTTTGTTCATTTATATATTGATACTTCTAAAAAAAGTTTTAAAATATTAAATTCCACATTCTTTATCGAGCAATTAAAATTTTTGATTGCACATTTTTCGGCAAACCCCTGCAATAGATGTGTAATAAGCCCTTAACTAGTAATTGTTGTTTCAGTTAAATAAATTTAAAAAAGATTTTGGTAAAAAAACGACTCTTATTATTATTGACAGATTAAAAATTTTGTAACATCTCTAAAAATTTATATTTGCAAGATATTTGAAGATAAATTTTATTTTTCCACCGGTCAGTTTAAAATTTTAATTTACTGCCGTACAGGTTAAAACTAATTTTAAAAATTTATAAATGTTGTTATTTATCACATTGCTTATTCACATTAAATATTGCTTTTATTAAACTTATAGTTTATTTAAACAATAATGTTTTATATTTACTGAATTATACATATCGATTTGCACGTTGAATTGTACACTGAGCATGCCAATATCAGTACAACGGTCCTATTGTACTTGACGTTAAATTAAATTTTTATATTTAGTTCTATATAAATTTTGACTAATAAATTTCACTAATTTAAAATTACTTACCAATTTTATTTTTTGATACTCGTACACTACGTTGATGAATAGAAATTTAACACAGTAAAAAATTTTACAAAAATTATTTTCTTAATAATCTAGTACGTAACAAGATATGTGGATATTTTCAAAGACAAATTGTTAACAGGATGCATCTCCAGTTGTAAAAAATTAGAGTTCCCGTACCTTTTTCATGAAAAAGAGAACGTTTGCTAAGAAAAGAGATTACTATCATGACATAAACATTATTAGAATATAATATACGCTATACGCATATATAAATATATATATATGTATATATACATGTTATATATACATACATATGTATATATATATAAGACAAGTTAACCTAAGATAGAAATGTAAAGCATAAAATTGAGAGAATTATGTGAGTTTTTAATAATATTAGAAAAATATGCCCATATAAAAAATTTACAGGAAAATTTTCTTGGACAGATCGAATGTATTTTTTGAAAAAGAGAAATTGCGAAAAAATTTTTGTTTGGAAAAACTAAAGTTAACAAGGAGGAAAAGTGACAAAAAGACAACATTTCCATTTAAAAAATGTACGGATGGGAATCCTCTTCTTTTACAAAGCTTAGTTATGATGTAAGTTTTTCTTTATGATTATGCATCTTCGATCTTAAAAATTATACAATACACAACACAAAATATATACATACATAAATGTTGTAACTATAAACTAAACAGTTTTGTATGTAGTTGTAAGAATATACTTATACGTGAAAGTCTTTTATTGCTTATTATTACTGGGAGTGTTACGTTAACTATTATTTTTCATGTCATCAAAATATAAAAAGCTTTCTTTTAAATTTTATTCCGTCAAGTATTTCTCTTTAAAAAAAAATTATTGTGAATGTTTAGAAATTTTGATCAAATTCCATCTTTAAAATTAAAATTTCGTGCAAATAATTGATAGCGTTTAAATAAGGAGTTCTGATAAAATTTATAAATAAATTTATAAACAATTACGAACAAAATATATTTACACGTCATTGGCAAATTTATAATTATAACATTAAAATTTAAAAAATTTAATATATTTTTATTTGCCAAAAAAAATACGTCACTATAGTGATGTACAAGCGAATTAAGTTGAAATTGTGGAAGTCATGGTGAACGCTAAAAATTATAAAGCTTTTTCTTTTTAGTTCTCATTTATATTTTTTTTTACTAACTTTGTTTGTTTGTTTTCGCATTTATGCCCTTTTGTTTTAGAATTATTATATATTTGTGAATATTTTCATTTGTATTTAAATTATCTCTAGAAACAATTAATGCTCTACTTAAATTTAAAAAAATTTCGAAAAATGTTCCTAATAATAATAATAATGAACACTTAATTTTTAGTTGAGAAAATTATCTTTCTAAAATAAACAAACGTAATAGAGAATAAGCTTAAATTTGTTACGTAAACAATATTTTTTATAAGAAAATATAACTACAATACATATAAGAAAATGTTACGGAAGAGAATTCAATTATTAAACCAAAGCAATTAGAATTAAGTAATTTGAAACTAAATTATAAATTACGTATTACGTATGTGTGTATTCTGTTTTATTCAAATATAAAAAAATCAGATTTTTGTAGTGAGAAATATAAAGTATTATTGAATTTTTATCAAAATATACATACATAGTATATAAGAAAAAGAAATCAAAAATTATATTTGGCTTAGAAAAATCTTCATTTGATAAAGAGAAAACTAATAAAAATTCAATCAGCAAATAATTTGTTTGACTTAAACAAATAATTTGTTTAAATCAAACAAAGTACACTGTTCCAAAAATAAACAAGATAACTTAATGATTGATGCTCATTTATATTTTATCCTATAATTGACTTTAAAAAAATCTATAGCGATAGCAAAAAATGGGAAAAGTATAATAATAATTCCATTAAAAATTAAAATCTTAATTTATTATTCAAGTAAAAAACAAAAAAAAATGAGAAAAAAAACGATCTTTATCAGAGCAATTTTCGTTATAGTTCTCGCATCCATTTATATTGCGTTAAAAATTGAAAATTAATGTGAAAAAAACTTATATTTCACTACTAAAAAAGTAGAATTGTTTATTTGTTCGCTTTATTCGTTGTTTAAAATTAAAAAATTATTAGTTACAATAATGTGTATGTGTTTTTTTATTTTTTCTTTTATTATTCCACCCAACAATATTTTTTTATCGCATATTTCAGTCTCTACTTATAGTTGCTACTGCAATTTCTAAATGAAGTTACTTTTAAAAAAACTACTGTACGTATATGAGAGTGAAATGTGACACGGTTTTCTAATAATATTTTAATCAATGTTATTTGTATATTCGTATGTTTGCATAGAATATTGATGGTTTGATATTTCAATGTAAAAAGGAACAAAAAAATATATTTTGTCAAATGATACACGATTTTGATTTTATTTATTTAATTTGAATATTTAGTTTTTTGTTTTGTTTTAATTAAAAATTGAAACAAACAATAATACTTATAACATAAAATATAACAATTTTTTAATTGTAGGTATTTATACGGAATAAAGTTGAAAAGTGAAGGAAGGAAGTGTATAGTTTGCTGGGAACAAAATTCTAAAAAAATTACCAAAAATTCTCATAGAGCATAGAACATAGAGCATTATATTATTGCTGCTTTGTTTAATCTTATTAAATATGTAATTTATACTTTAAATGCCTGTGAAAAGTGTACCTTGTTTAATTTATTCAGGTGTTCACTGTACTCAGATTGATACACTTATTAGTATAATAGTGCAGTTTGCTAATTTATTTCTTTCTTGGTATCAAGATTTTATGAAAATAAGATTAATCGTTCCGTGTTATCGCTTCTGACCTATCTGGCTCAACATTCTTGTTCTAGAGGATTCTCGCTTCAAATAGAGCAAGGTATTCTTACAATAAATAGGTATTTTATGACCATAATAAATGATTAAATGCAAAACAAATCTTATTCCAAAAACTTTATTAATTTTTTTTTCCAGTAAATTTAAATGTTATAAGCCAGATTTTAAATTTATAATATTAAAAAAATTTGAGAAGAAAAATAGATTACTGACAATTTTGATTTTTTTTTTCGTTCTCTTTTTCGCTTAAATTATTTGATCACTCTGTGATGTAGCGTTAAAAAGGAATTAATAACTTTTATTATTGTTTACGCTAATGTAATGATTTCGAATTTAAAGTTAGTTAGCTAAGCTAAAAAAAATTTTTTTTTCTGATATTGTTCTTATGCCTTCGTTCTTTGCAATTTGTTTATTTTTTAAAATCAGAAATTCGTAATTGTAATTTAAAAAAGAAATAAAAAAATTCAAGATTTTGTTTTCAATTTCACTTTATTGAACGCCGATTTCATTAGAATCGAAAAAGAGAATTATTATTTTATTCAAAATTATATCAGATTCATCGGAATCTAAACTTCTAGGAAACATTTTGTTAATATAAAAGATCAATGATTTTAATTAAACTGGTTTGAAGACAAAATGTATTAGAGAACGGAATACATAAAACTAAATTAGTTACATAACTTAATAACAAACGGATTTGGAATCGTCTCCTACGAAACCTTATAAAATTTAGCATAAATTTAGTTGACACAATTAAAAGGCACTATAATATGTACTCCAACTTTTTAAATTTTATTGCGTAGTAAAAGCATAGTTTTATTTTAAGACCAAAATTTCATTTTATAAATTTTTTCATTGATGTACTTATGTAGCTTTATATGTATAATATTTTCTTTCGATTTCGTTCTTCTACATCTTGAGGAAGTTTGAATTATAAAAAAATAAATCATAAATACGCGAAAAAAAGTGGCACGAGCAAAACGAGAAAAAAATCTGCACAAGTAAATAACTGCAAATAACTGGAAAAAAATGCTAGAATTTACTCGTAAAGCGTGTATGTACAAAAAATTCATAGTAATAATAATAAAAAAAAAATAGAATAAAAATAGAAGGAATAGAACAAAACAGAAAAAAATTTTTTACAAAAAAAAATTGATTCCAATGATTTTACCTTGAAATTTGTTTTTCTGATTCATTGATTACAAGAAAATAAATTAAAAGCAACCAAAAATTAAATATGAATTAAAAAAAACATGCTAGTGCAAAAAAGAATCAGGCGAATATCGAAAGATAAACATAAGTAGCATTTATAAGATACTCAAGACGTACGTATGACAAGTATACCAAGGGATTTATGATGCATTTAATAGAAAAGAAAAGACAGTTTTTTTAAAAAGTCAACTTTAAAGTTACTAGCTTTTAAGTCACAAATTCCATATTCGTCAAATATATACCTAATAACGGCCTTTAGAAATGTGTTTCCTCCTCCACATGTATTTTTTTCTCAGACATATTATTTTAATTCTCTTTCTGTTGGCCTATTTTGCTGTTTTTTTTTGGAATAAATTAAGAGCACTTTCAGTTTACTTTTTATTTATTCATATAGGTTTTCAAAATATTATTTGTACAATACAAATATTTATAAGGTTTAGATTAATAACAAACATTGTGATGTTACAATAATCGTGATTATCATACAATATCAACGTTTACAATATTACACAACATGCATGCTTACATTTTGAATTGTATATAATTATAATATGTGTGTGTTTGTACATATATATTTATCTAATTCTCGCTATTAGAATCGTGCCCACAAGCTTTTTATTTTTATATAGCCACTATCTAGATTCTGAATTGCTTCCTATTTCAATTTTTTTTAAATTAGAAAAAGCTTTTTATTTTTTTATTGAATTCTGCTTCATAGCTGCGATGTTAATCGTGAATTCTCAATAGTTTTTGTTATGTATTTAATTTTCATTATCATACGAGTATACGTATACACTCGTGTATACATATTCATTTTCATTACAAATTCTGCTTCATTTTTTTCACAATATTTCATATTTCATTTTTATATAATTTAGTTATATGTAATATAAATATTTATGAAAGTGCCTATATACAATAACGATGAAAAAACTTGAATTCAATATTGTAGTGCTGTAATAGTATGAGTGTATATGCTATTGTTATTTTTATACAAATAGGAATATAATTGATAAATTAAAATTAAAATTAAATTATGTAAGCTTATATGGAAGAAAATGTTTATACAGTGAAAATCTACCACAAAAAACCTTGATGATGAAGGATGAGCAAGTTTTATAGTGCTTGCACAAAATTCTTGTTTTAAAATATCCGTGGGAAAACCAAGAAGCTGGTACCCGAGCCTTTATTGAACAAAGCTTTTGGACACTCTTTTTCTCAATTATTTGGAATAATGGTTTTTCGAAGAAAAAAAAAAAATCCGAGCCTAATTTACAGCTTGTGAAAACTTTTTCGACGATAATGTTGCTTGTTTAAGTTTCAAATTTTTTTATGTGTCCTTTGCGATCACTATCTAGTGATCCAACATTACCTGTTTTTTAATATACCTGTAAGATTAACAATAGCAGTGACATATTTTTTTGAAATAAAATTCTAATTGAAATGAAATCGTTTCTAAACTTAATAATTTTTATAAGAGTGGAATTTGTGTAATTTAAATAATGAGAGAAGCAAATTTTTATTTATAATTTAAATTCTCTTTACAAATACAAACAAAATTATATTTAATTTCTCTTAAAAGAATTGAGCAAAAAAATTTTTAATAATTTCTTTAACTGTATAATATTTTCTACCTAGTATTTTACTTTTGTTTTTTTTCAAAGAAGGAACGAAATTCAGAAAGAAATTATTTTTCTTGACAGTTTGTTGGAAATCCTTTAAAATATAAGTCACAATAATTTGAAATAAATTTTTGATTAACAAAGGACTCCTTTATTGTAATTAAAATTATTTGGTAATAAAATGAGTCACAATGAGATATGTAACGGCATTTTTTTACTTGTTGGTTAAAATGTTACTTTTTTATCTGGATTTCTTTTCCGATTTTTAAACTAAATAAGCTTATCTTATAAAATGACACACACTACACTAAAATGTACTTCACTTGTAAGATAAGTGTATTACGAAATGACGAACGTCATAATTTATAAAAAAAAAAAGAGACAAAACTTATTGTATTTTTTTATTTGAAAATTCCATTGGATACAATTGAAATAAAAAATTGTTAGTTATTTCATATCTTGATGAAATTTTTTTGTATTTACCCATTAGTATTAGAAAAAGTCCAAAAAAGCGGTGAAATTGATTTATGTATTTAAAAAAAAGAAAACACTATTTGCTCTTTACGAAAAAAACCAACATAACATTATTTATTGCAATGTGCTTTCCATAATGTAACATATTTATATATACAAACATCTGGATATAAAAAATTCACTTAAGTTTACTTTAAATAAACCTAAACCTGTACAGTTATATACCTACAAATGTTTTTTATGATAACATTATATGTCACATAAAACGCCAGGTGCTACACAATAAAATGAAAATATAGAATATAGAAGTGGTACAGGTAGGAATATAAGAACTATACTGCCATATATGAATTGTAATAAAATGTTATGAGAATGACCTTTTGTTTAGTTGGGCACACTAAAGTCGTTCGTGTTCTATATAACCACATTTATGACTACCTTTATATGTAAATTTATGTGACTTCCATGCAACACTATATGTTCTTACCTTTACATACTTATACATAATTAAATATGATAAATGTATATGCTTAGTACTTATTGTATTCATATAGAAAACTATACAAGAAATTGAAAGGAACAAGGGAATAAAAAGTAGATAGAAAAAGAATCGTAGAGTTTTATATGATGGTATGTACATAAATATTAATATGAAAAATTCTTTTACCTAATGTTATAGCCTATAGCATGCAATATGGTATGGTACGGCATCACAACTTTGTAACCTTTTATATTTTTTATATACATATACAGAAAAAAATTATTTAAAATTAAAAAAGAAACTACTCCATTGAATATAGGACATAATATGCACCTGTATTAATACATATGTGTGTATATGCATTTTGTTATCTAGGTGAAAATTTTCAGAAATAAAAGTTCATATTAAAAATCTCAGCGATTTTCAAATATTTTTGTGTACAATTAAAACTTTCCCTGAGCTATATGAGGTGTCAGGTATAAAAGAAATTAGGTCTAAAAAATTTATTTATACAGCTATTAAATTCAATTTATTTTATTGATTGTTATTATTTGAAGTTTTATAGATTGTTACTATTTGAAATATACTGTCGCTCCCGCTTTTAACGCAACAATAAGCTTAGTAAATTAGAGTTTCTTTTCCTAGAAAACTTTTTAACCTGAGAATTAGGTTTTTAATTTAAATGGAAAAATAGGCTACTTGTTGAAAAGTAAACATTGAAAATCTCTGTTTTTCACAACAAGAGTTTGCTTAAATTTTTCCCTCTCTCTCTTTTGTCCTTGCTATTCACTTTTATAACAATTTTTCTTATTTGCTTTTGAGTTTTTATTCTGTATTATGTCACATGGATATGAATTTTGATGGCTTTGTGCCAGTTGGATCTTTTAAACCAATATTTTATTCTTTTGTTTTCCTGTTGAAGTTTGATTCTTTTGTTTCTTTTTTTTTTATTTGACTTCATTTCTTAGATAGAATATGAAAAGTATAATTTTCATGACAAATCTATATCAACTTATGTATGTATTTCCATTTCATATAAATCCAATTAATATACATAGTTAAAAAGATTTTTACAGCTTTAGTTTCAATGTTTATCGTTGGATATTTTTTTAGTCTTCGTTCTTTAATGGAAGGAGCTTGGCCCTTTGTGAAATTTAATATCAGGGGCGATGTCTGTATTAAAAATTACGCATGGAAATTTGTTGCACTTGATACTGTAGTTTCAACTTTATTACTGTTCTATATGTTCTGTAGCCAACTACACATGTTGTAGCTTGATTTTTTTTCAACAATTTTTAAAGATTTTCTTGAAATATATGTATATATGTACATATTAATGTAGTATGTGCAAGAACTTTTCAGATATTTTTTTATTTTTACAAAAATAGT